AGTTTGAACTCGATCAATCCAAGCATGTCTCAGATACGGATCCAGAACTGAATTCTTTAAAACAAAATGGCCGCCAGTCGGCCATTTCGAACCCGATCCAAAAAAAAAATGACGTGCATCAAGGTCCTATTATGTTTAATGTATGTACCAAATTTGAACAAAATCCGTCCATGCATAACTGAGATCCGGGTCCGGAATGGTGAAAATGTGTGATTTTGATGCATTTTCGGCCTTAAAATGGCCGCTATTCGGCTATCGTTAATCGGATCATGAAAAAAATGCATGTGCATATGTCCCATATAATGTGTGATGTATGAGTGAAGTTTGAACTTAATCGGTCCATGCATGTTCGAGATACAGGTGATCACGGACGGACGGACGGACGGACGCACAGACGCACGGACGGACGGACGCACACAGGGCAAAACATAAGTCCCCGTTTTCGGACTGCGTCCGAACGGGGACTAAAAACAGAAGAAAAAAAAAGCTAGAAAATTAATACGACTTGATTTACATAAAAAGTAAACTGCAGTTAAAAAGTGCATTAAAATAAATTGATCAGGAAATATGTTATCTCCCTATTGGTTTCTTTTGCAGCTTTGCAATACTCCTAGGGAAATTGCCAGGGATGTATTTTTCGATTATGCCACTTTCAATTCATACAACCATTTTCACAAGGGATACATATAACAAGAGTGCTTTAAAAACACTCAGATTCAAACACTGTAAGTGGATGAAACCCTTTAAAAAAAATTTACGGATTACGAATAATGGATTTAAAATTAAGTCAGATTTTTGAGCAAAAGAATTTTGAGAAATATAAAAATGATTAATTATTAAACATAGTGAATTCCTATTTTATAATTGATATTACATACATTTAAGGCAAAACGTTATGATGGATATCAAGACAGACAATTTAATTTCTTGATGATATAGAACAAAGGTACAGGCTACATAATTCCATATGGTTAGCCGTGAGAATACAAATAAACATATGGAAACAATCGATTGACACAAAATATGTATGTAAATACACCAGAGAAATGTTACTACCTCTGGTAGTAACTGCTAGACATATTAAAATAGATGAATGGATAAACAAAATTTAATAATAATTATTGATTACATGAAAGCAGATAGAAAATAAAAATAAATGTAATATGTTTTTTGAAAAATATTAAATAATCAATTATTAATCAATTATTACTCATGATAGGAATGCATTTTAAGGATTGGTCAATGTACATTCCATCTTTATTACATGTACAATTTACTATAATTAATCCTCTGAAGAATAAAACTATATTATTTTTCCAGAAAAAAATGATCCAGACCTGCAGCCAAATTAAAAAACAAAGAAATTATAGAAAAATATACAGAAATTTGCGTAATGCAGAACAAATTTAAGCAACGTAAAGTTTCCCACTCCAATACTGGTATTGGTACAGTATATACAAAATGAATGAATCATTGATACTACTTTGACTTTGTTTTGTCTCACATACACACAGGATTTTTAAGCATAAAAAGAAAATGGATGCCAAAAGTAAAATTCGCTAATTTCCACATTACCATATTGTTATGGTAAAAAAGAAGCTTGACAATAATAATAATAACTGACGATACTGCAGAACAAAAATGTATTCGATTGAATATCAAGAGAAATTACCTTTGCTGTTAAATCCCATCCAGTAATAACTCCTCTATAACCCCACTTTTTATGTCTGATCACTTGACCTACTCTGTACTTAACATGTGCTGGTCTAGGACTCCTTGGTTCTGGTGAGCCTGAAAAAACAAATTAAGTTGTACATAGAAATCAACTAGTAAAACTGTATTTTATAAAAAAAAAATTATTGGAGTTAAAAATTTGTATTATCAGGGCTCAAAATTTAGATATATTATTGAAAATTGTTGCTGATACTGGACAATAATATTACCGGGTAAGTAGAAATCCCAAGATGTATTATATTTAGGAGTCAAAATCACTTCACTATTTTACCCCCTGACTTTATCGTCCCAAATCTTTCTGTACTTTTTTCTAATATTCTTCAATATTTCTATAAATGAACCCTAATTTTGGAGCCAACAGACAAAATTTGAGTAAACATTCAGTTTTTACTCATAAAAAGTTGTTTATTTTTTTCCCAATCTTCTGAAGGAAAGTTCAGACTAAAATGAGACTATTTTGTGAATTTGTAATCAAAAGAGGGAACTGGTGGTGAAAAAGTTAAGATGCGGTACCATTCATGAAATGCGTCGAATGAGGACAATCTGTGCAAACAACAATTTCAACCTTAACTATGTTACTCTGCCATGATTTTTTTGGTGATTCGTTTTGAATCCCAAAGAATTTTATTGCCACAACAAAACCTTTGAGACTTTATTTCAATATTTCAGTTATGAATACATCCCCCGGATTTTTGTTTACCGGTGGTTATTTGTTTGTCCAATAAAAACGTGAATATTTAACTACATGACATACCGGTACACAATAGAAAAACACAGTTTTGGCAATATGCCAAATGAGTACAACCAAACAGAATTGTTTATTGCTTATATTCATTTTAATGTCATAGAAGTCCTTTGTTGCTAGACAGCATGGTTTAACAGGAACGGTATATTAAAAATAGGCAAATTGTACTGTCGCTAATCAGTTTTGGCCAAATAAATGGCATTTCATTTGGGAGTAGGATAAGGTATACTATATATATTATTATCACAGATTTTCACTGAAACCTTATCAGGTCTGCACATTATCATAAAGCATCAGTGAAATGTAATGATTGGTTCTTGAGATATTGGTGAAACAGACACACATATACAGATACCTATGGAAATAAACTAAACTGAAACGACTACCATTGTGTGCACAGCAATGAAATACATATGCGTTACCACTTTCAAGACTGCAGACTAGTTAGTGTCATAGTAGAAGTCATTTGAGCATTATTATAGTTTTTGGTAGCCAATTTGCATAATTTTTGGCAGATCAACTTCTTATTTTCATCTACACTCATCAAGGCACCTACACAACAAAATTCAAGTCAAATGGTTCAACATTTTTTTCAGAAGTTGTATACATTCATCCATCCATCCAGCCAGACAAACAGACAGTTGCCAGACACAGCATCATTGGTATAGCTCAGCGGTTGTATGGTCTACTGAGATAACGATGCAAGAAACACCATAAAGTTTAAAAAGCAAAATTACCTGCAAAATGTCCATCTTTTTCTCTGTATTTTAGAACTTCTATCGCAGGTGATTCTCCCATATCATCTTCTTCATCACTATAAAATTCCCCAGACTGTATCTTAGCAACCATCCAACTACATAAATTCTTCCAAGTTTTTAATGTAAATATTCTTGTTGTCCATGACTGTATACCTAATGCAAGACTGGAGAGAAAACTATTTAAGAACGGGCCTGGTAAGCTGAATTGTTATTTTATCACTGGAAGGTAATGAGCCATGGATAATTAAAACATATGCACAGAAAACTTAATTTCATTTAACATTCAACCCCCTAACAAAGGTTTACAAGCACAGAAAAAAAGGAACAAACAATGAAAAAAAAAACTATTTTTGCACATAATTATTGAAATCACATAATCTTTGTTTAATAAATGTAGAATTAAAACTAAATATTTTAAAACTAAATGAATGAATTGGATAATTAATTCGTAATTCCCAGGTTCGAGAGTTTCTATGAAACTATAAGCACTTTGAGCTAAACCTATAAACCTTTGCATTAAGATTAATCCATGCTATTATGATCATTAGAGAATATAAAAATATCCTGGTACAGTCTGTCGCCAAAAAGAGGGTACCACATTTTGCATATTTATTCATTTTGTATTAATTTTTAACCAATTGGACATAATTTCCTTGTCGCTACATGTCTTAAATTTCTTCTTCTTTTTTTTAAATTGGTGCAGGTTTATTTTCTGAAAGGTAACAAAAGTTGACTTTGGTGTGTGTACAAAGAGCTAAGAATGACAAAATAACTGGTAGGACAACCTTTTCTTCAAACTGATAGCCTGGGGACGGTGTTTGTATCACAAATCACATTGAATGATGCAATATCGTGCACATAACAAATAATTAGCTGCTAATCGACAAGTTCAAACATACATAATTCACTGTAACTACTGATTTTTTTGTTTATGGCTGAATTTACTACAAAATTTAAAAACTTTAGCTAAGTTTATCAGAAAATACAACTCTGATAGATACAAATGTAACTAAGAGGTTTTTTAATTGGTAGAGAAATACTTAGCCTATTAACCTGTTCATTCACGTTCTAACCATCAGTTATTCAATTGACATTTTTGTGCTATTACTTTATTTTCACAGAGAAAATGGGAAGCAGCAATGAATAAATAATGAAAACATTTTTTTTTCTAATGATAAAGCAAGATTTATCTGTAATTAATAAAAAAAAAAAAATCAGAAATTCTGGTTGTGGATAAATGATTACTTTTTAAATAATTTTGTTTTCAGGATGATGCTGTAAATTACTTTCTATTTTTTTTATCAAATATCGCGGTTTTCTGAAGAATAATTTTTCAACATTTTTTTTTTCAAATCTACAATAAAACCACCACCAACCAACCCAGCCTTGAGTTTCTAATGGTCGCACTCTTCCTAGTCAATATATCATATGGAGTAGAAAAAAGTGACCAAACAACTATTTGCCACTTGCAACAAAAGCTTGTAAAACAGCTCTCTAAGCCATAAGTGTTTTGGGTTTACAGCCATTTATTTATTTTCAGCCTACAACCAACCTCTAGGGCTAATGACTTTTAAAATAGAGAACACCTGGACAAGACATAACTCTTTGAATGCCAAAATCAACTTTTGTCATCTTTTACAAAATAGTTCTGTGTACTTTCTGTGCATAATAATTAAGTGAGTTGCATTTCATTAACTCATCATTCTTTTCATTTGACATGATTGATAGCCATGCCAATGTAATCCAAAATTAACAAAATAAAATATCCTGGAAAAATATATAAAATATGTATGTTGTACCAACATTTTGACTGAAAAAAATATGACATTCAGAGAGTTATGTGATTTTGGACACCATTTTTTGTGAGTCGTGATAATACTTACTCTCTAACATCCTGACTTCTTTGTGTGCTACTTGTTGATGTCCAGTTTGATATTAGATATTGTGCAGGCAGTGCTAATACCAGTACACTGAATTGCAAAATAGCTGCTCGATTTATAGGCATTTTCTGCTACATGGGCCATGGATTCAGGCCTAAAATCTGGTACGTAAGAGAACAGAACAGTCTAAACAAACATGAATGAATGGCGAAAATAAAATGAAAATGAAAAACAAAATAGTATTTTAGAAAGAATGCAAAGTACAGTACATTGCTTATAAGAAAAATAAAAATATATCGTCCATGGTTTACCAAAATTACAGAATTTAATAGGTTTGATTCATCTCGTCTTTGAAAAGTGCAAGTTTCTGATAAAATGTGTTAGGATTATATGGGACCATGGAAAGTGTGCCCTTTTTCATGAATTGATCAGTACTGTAAATGACACTTCGCGGATGTTCTGTGGGGTTTAATTTCCTCCAACGGATATCATAAATATTAGCATTTGCATAATCTTGGAAAGACAAATGTAATATTTTGAATTGCCGACGATTCGATCACGACGATCATTCATCAAGTAAATGCCACAGATTGAAAAGTAAATAAGTAATAATAACAGCCGCTTAACTCAAATAAAGGGCAAGTAATGACACGTTTGCTACGCTGTGTACTAAAGAACATAGGATGGAAACCCAGAAATCACGAATGTCAACACACTTGCAAAATTCAGGCACAGTCGACTGCCGGTGAAGATTATACTTTTGATGCAACTTGCTTCGATGATGTGCTATCCTATAATTCGCTGTAATGAAACAGACATGTCTCCTCAGACAATAACATGTTGAACTTTGACAGCAAATAAAATAATAACACACTGTTCAAAGCTCTCTACTTGTGCACAAAATGCCAAACTCATCAAGCAATCGGGGAACGCCACGACAACTTCCGCGTAAAGGGAATCCCTGCCTCGTTCGCATATTCATGCAGTGAGGTATATTCAATACACAATATATTCTCGTTCTGTCAATTTTAAAATCACTGAAAGTATTTTAATAAATATTACAACCAATCAGAGCATTATACCAAAAATAGTATTAATTATGTTTACTATATCTTAAATGAAATTAACTTAGTATGAACGAGGATCAACGCGAAAGTGACTGAATGTCGTAAAACGGATTATTCCTTCAAATCTACATTTTAAGGAAATCGAGGCTAAAACATATAACTATTCCCAAAAACATTGCTACTGTTATATGTTATATTGAAAAGCTATACACTTATGTTAATTTTACGTACATAAATTACCTCTGCTTATTCGAAACGTTGTTGTTCTTATTGTCGTAAAAGAGACACTTCTTCCTGCACTTCCGGTTGGAATTTGCTGAGGCCATGCTTACGGTTTCGGCTTCGAATTGACTGTTTTGTTCCAAGAATCAAGCAAGCTATCAACCTATTTAATGATCAAGTTGGTAGGTGAAATAATTTTCTTTATTTTTTGTAAAGACGGATGTTTATTCTTTTATGCTGTATGTAGAAAATTGCAGTGCTACTGCAAGAGGCCGGTCAGACTAACAGGGTTGACCGTTGCGACGTCGATCACTAGGATAAGAAGGGTGTGAACACGGACGGAGTCGTGTTTATTAAACAATTCACACCTACTGCCGCGCGACGCTCGAATTTTACGATTAGGATGGACACGTCATTAGTTTGAACAAATCCAAGCATTTCTTTCATCAAAAGTATGTTTAAATAAAGCATATGTAGTAAGTAGTAATTACCATACTACAAATTAAGTCCAGTCGTGCTTGTCATGTACTCTCGGACTGCCCTCAGTTCCTCAATCGTGGACTGCCTTTTGGTCATTTCATGAAATCGTGTCTCCTGTATTGTAGGACGTATTGTTCTCCTTACGTTGGACATTTTCACGTAAGACGGCCATTGACACGTATGACCTAGATCAAAAGATGGGTTGGTAGAGATAAGTATCAGCAATTTATAAAATGTGTCACATGGGACGAATAATTTTTCTCACATTTAATTATTGTGATGAATTAATTACTAAATTGTCAATATTTCTGTCAGGTTGATTAGCATCCAATATTTAAAAACAATGTAATTTGTGTGAATAATTTTGTGCAATTTTAAACTATGTGAAAACAAATATTTTGCTATTCCCATATTTTAATTTAAAACTCAATTGTTTTTATTGTCAGTCCTGTAATAAGAAATATTTTCTTTACTGGCATAAACTGGTCGGTGAATTTAGCTTCAGATAAGATCAGCAACCAAATTTGTCATTAACACATAACAACCCTTGGAAACAATTGAGAAGAGTAAACAAACAAATATAAACAAAAAATTGAGGAAATTATTAACAAATAAACACCCAAAAACAAATGTCGATTTATAATGTAGAGGTCTGGTAAAAAAAGAAAAAACATAATTATTAAAGCAAAACACAGCTTTTGTATGTTTGTTGTTAATAAAATAGTGCCCTGTTGAATATAACCCAAGAATCATTCTATGGTGCTCTGTTGGATATCTTTAACCTAAAATGTAAAAAAAATAAAAAATCCTAGGGGAACAGTGGATATACTGTGGAATACTTTATTTTCGCTGGAATTAATTTTCGCTGAAAAGGCTTTTTGGGTGTTTTGTATGGAATTTATTTTCACTGATTTTTGATGAGCTTAATGTGAAATATAGGAAAAAATGTATATTCGCTGGATTTTATTTTCACGGAATCATCCCTTCAGCGAAAATAGCGAAAATAAATTCCAAGTAAAAATAAAGTATTCTACAGTATTGATAATCATTCTTATTTTTACCTCTTATTTTTGCTATTCAGCCATCTCGATACTAAAACCGCCTTCCCTGTCAGAAAATATTTTAATTTTACAGTTTTGAATTGAAATCACTAATAAAGTAATTTGTAAGAAGATTATTCATTTATCCCTGCCATCTTTGGAGTTTGTGTTTTACAAGGTTTTTTAGTGTTAATCGTTCACCGATTTCACAGCAACCATGTTTCACAATTTGATATTTGTTGTGAGAAAAAAAAAATTTATAATAAATAAATACTACCGATCTAATTATTAGGATCTTCAGCCCTCGTCTGGCCATCGTCTGAACTTCATGAAGACATTGGTGCTTAGGCATTTGGTTGAGTTTTTTTTTTAGTTATTTAACTAATTATTTTGTATGTAGTTTTTTACCGGATCTTCACACAATAGTCAGTTAAGTTCATACATCAGGACAATTTGAGTCTGTTGCTGGAACAGAATTTGAATCTGTTACCAAAACTGAATTTGAATCTGTTACCAGAACTGAATTTGAATCTGTTGCTGGAACTGAATTTGAATCTGTTGCTGGAACTGAATTTGAATCTGTTACCAGAACTGAATTTGAATCTGTTGCCGGAACTGAATTTGAATCCTGCTGGAACTGAATTTGAATCTGTTGCTGGAACTGAATTTCAATCTCTTCCTTGATCTGAATTTGAATCTGATTGTATGAAATTCAGTTTATCCTTTTAATGTTATGTTACTATGTCTGTTTTATCAAAGGTATTGGCACATCCTAAATGCGAGTTTTGGAATCGGATCAGCTGGTGGCAATGACAAAGAAGAGGCATAAACTGAGAAAGCAGAAGCGAGACAATGAAATGTTCAATGAATCTTCTGATGATACCACAGAGGGCGCTCAAGGTATATTAATAGTTTGGTACAGCATACCACTAATGTATGTATAAAGCAAACAAAAAATTAACTTCTTCCATTTCTGGTTCTGTGATGTTTCGGCAAATTTCTGTGAAATTTGTTTTGTTTAATTTTTTAAATAATATTTTGCAAAACTCCCGTCCAAAATGGTAAGACAAATAAAGGTATTACAAGATTATTATTATTATTCAAATATGAACTTTATTAAAAGTTTTTATACATTTTTTTTTTGTCTTTTAGCAGGAAGATTTTGTGAACACATCAGTAAAGCTGTAAATATATCAAACGTAAAGAAAGCGGTGAAACAGGTGACACTCGGTGAATGCCCAGTAAGTATTTTATAATAGTTGTTTTGTTACGGAATGCAATCCTGCACTGTAAAATTTATTAGTTCTGCTCAATATTTGACACAGTGTGTAAATTACGTCATTTTCTGAATCACAGACTTAGTAACAGTATAATACATACCTTAACTGAAGGAAATTGCAATTTATGAAATATTGATATTATATATTTTATTTATTATATATTATAATATTTTATTTTTAATGTCTATCTAAACATAAATAAATTTAAAATATAAATTATTATTTATTGTAGATTTATTATCTAGTATCACTGTATGTGATATATGCTGTAAAACATGTCTTTTTCGCGAGCATGTTTATTTAGCGAGAGAACTGGTTCGCTAATTCAAGATGTCGCTAATGACTTTATTATAAATTCAAAACGGCCAACAAACAACGTCTTTTTTCTCAATACACACTTTGTTTTTGGATGTACTGACATGATAGATACACTTTATTGACAAGTAAATTAACACAAAAAAATAAACTTATTCATTGTGGTCATTATTTCAATGAGAATAAATAAATAAATGAATAAAAAACATAAATGAAGTGTTACTGATATATAGTTTTTCTTCGTTTTTATGGAGGTGATAACTGCGCATTTGTTTTGGCACACGACAGACAAGTATTGTGAAAACAGGAAATCAACAATGACAAGAGAGATTCGCTAAATCATCATTTCGCTATTACGTCATTTTACCACAATTCTCTAAAATTGCATGTCGCTTTTTCAACATGTTATATATATACGCTCTTAATGGGGAAGTACCGGTACATGAAGTATGCTGGTATTCACAGTTGATCCAAATTACTGAATGCTGGTGTATTTTACAGACCGAATCTTATAAAGTTATACATGTTATATCATTATTCATGAGATCTAGGGATTTGAATATCAAATATAGTAAAATGTGACGAGTGTGAAGCTAGCCTCATATTCAGCCTCAGATTTCAATGAACTGCTGTTTAAAATTCTGCTCCAAAGACTGATGATTAACTACTAAATCAAAAGTTAATCACTTTATTATATATAATGGGAAATTAAAAAACTAAATATTTAAATAATGAATAAAGGAAATATAAAAATGAAATATTACTGTTCATCACTTAGAAGTTCTATGTCTTTTGTCAGTGGATATTTTGTCACATTCACACATTTTCGCTTGGAATTAATTTTCGCTATTTTCGCTGAAGGAATGATTCAGTAAAAATAAAATCCAGCAAAAATAAATTTTTTCCTATATATTACATTCAACTCGCCAAAAATCAGTGAAAATAAAACACCCACAATGTCTTTACAGCGAAAGTTAATTCCAGCTAAAATAAAGTATTTCACAGTAGCTCAATATTATTGTTTGTAGACTTGTAAGAAGGATTGTAAAAGTAAAGACAAAGGTAGCGTTGAAGAACCAACATCGGCTCAGGCTGCTATTCCAGATGATATTGAGATCACTATATGGTGCTGTCTGCAATGTGGACATCAGGTATTCTAAAACAATTTCTCAATTCGATTTTGCTGTTTTCGCTGTGTAATGTGCACAAGGTATCTATATGATCGTAATTTCTTCATGAGAAAAGTTGCTTGACCTGAAATTTTCTGAAGATTGCTTTTTTTGTTAAATATTCAGATAATTAATAAATCATGGTCTGCAACCTTGAAAGAGATTTTAATGACTTCTTAGGTTCCCCAGGAAAGGATTACTGTGGAATACTTTATTTTCGCTGGAATTAATTTTCGCTGAAAAGGCTTTTTGGGCATTTTGTATGGAATTTATTTTCACTGATTTTTTATGAGTTTAATGTGAAATATAGGAAAAAAAGTATATTTGCTGGATTTTATTTTCACGGAATCATCCCTTCAGCGAAAATAGCGAAAATAAATTCCAAGCGAAAATAAAGTATTGTACAGTATAATGACTCATTATGTTCCTCAGAAAGCGATTATAATGACTCCTTAGGTTCCTCAGAAAGGGATTATAATGACTCTTTAGGGTCCTCAGAAAGGGATTATAATGACTCTTTAAGGTCCTCAGAAAGGGATTATAATGACTCTTTAAGGTCCTCAGAAAGGGATTATATCACGCCTTAGGTTCCTTAGAAAGGGATTATATCACGCCTTAGGTTCCTCAGAAAGGGATTATAATGACTTCTTATCATAAAATCAGGCTTTTAGTGGTCCAAATTGCAGATTTAGATCAATGCCTGAATAAATTGACCTTTGACCCTGAATATGTATGGCTCATGTTTGGTACTATATTAAGCCGCACATTTAAACATTAACATAATTATAATTGTTTTTTGTTTTTTTGTAATTTAATCAGCAGTATCCCCCCAGTGATTGCGTTAACCGCATATTTTGCTTCCCGGACTCCAAGGGAGGGACCCAGTTTTTCAGGCAAGCTGGGGTCCAATCTCTAATTAAGTTATCCAGGGTCAAATTTCTATTTCTTAAAATTTTATATGTGGGACTGCCGAGACACTACCCTACCCTGTCCCCTGCTAAAAGCCTCCACGGTGTCAGCATTCAATGTGTTAAATTACACATGTATTATGGCCATATTATTTATTAGTTGCATTCAGCATATTTCTTTATAATAGTCTGTTGTAGCAGCTGTATAAACACAATGCATGGCTTTGTCTGTACTATGGTTCTATTGTGTATTATTGTATTATAATTATGTCAGGGTGAACTCATCTCGTGAATTCTAATTAAAGTGACTTGAAAATAATTGTATCAAATATATCATTGAATTTTATTATATTTAAAAAAAAAATGCATTATTTTCACATTACATTAACTACTGTGAACTGATTTAATTTCACGAGAGGCGAATTTTTGTGAATTTTAGTAAAAATCGCAAATTTTTGAGTCCAGAGAATCATAAATATCTTCAAATTGCAAAAACTCCTGCCTTCCAAAACTATTCACAAGTATACATTTTCAATTTTAAATTTCTACTGTAGAAACTTTTATTTTTGGTTAGAATTGTTGATTTTTTTGAAGGAGTATTTCATTAATAATAAACACGGTGAAAATTGTCTCATCTCAGTTTTTGCTGTTTTTACTGTCTAATGTGCACAAGGTATAAATATTGTAATTTCTTTATGAAAAATGAATCTCTGTTTGATATGATTGAAAATGTTTTTTGCCAGATATTCAGTTCCTGACTTGTTGAAATTAGAAAATTAATTAATACGTCAAATTTTGCAACCTTGAAATGCCATTAATTAATGATTCATATTTCCATAATGCCTCCTTAGGTTCCTCAGAAAGAGATTTTATGACTCCTTAGGTTCCCCAAAATGAGCTTATACTGAAAATGAAACTGATGACGCTGTTCAGCACATGAAACAGATGAAATGTGGAGAACATGCACTGACAATATAGATCTTCCACCCCCCAACTGTGTTACTTTGTTGTTGCTTTTTAGTGATTTATTGCCTATCCTAAGGTTTCTGCCTGAATAAAGCCTTTGCAACATTATTTTAATGTCAGCATCGTTGTAAACATGTCTGATATTTTATTTGATTTGTAATTTCATCTACAATCTCAATTAGCTCATCAGTTTTCTCAGATTAAGTCAAAAGTAGATTACGTACCCTTCTCTTTATACATAAAAACTGTATCATTATACAACACGCTAATTATGAATTTGCAATAAGTTATAACCACATTATTAATTTCTTACAGGGATGTGACCGTAATTCACCAGGTCAGCATGCTTTGAAGCATTTTGAGACACCACATTCATCACAACATGCCGTGGTACTTAATCTCAACAACTGGGCTGTGTGGTAAGAATTATACTTGTAATTGAACGCCATGATTTTTCGCGCCAAAATTTTGATTTTAACATGTGCACATTTTTATAAATTTTTCTAGAATTTTTTTACTAACTTTGAACCACATTTATCCAATTAGTGATAAGCTACAGGTCCTAATCAAAATTTTTGAAAAAATGAGGATACATCAGATATAAAAAATGAGTTCTATCTCTGCAATAGAGCTCAAGTACAGTGCCTACTTGCCACGCTCACAGCATTCCATACAAAATATGTCCCTCTCATAATTATTCACGTTAAAAAAAAATTTGCTGCTTATGTTCTATTTCAATTGTACTGTATACTGAGAACAGACTTCTCAGGGTAGAGTGAACCAAGTGTGTATTGGTCACTAAATCTGGGAGGAGATTAACGCACTGGAGAGGAGCACTTGTAACTAAGATGTTTATTGCTCAACTGCTAGGCCTGGAACTGAGCCTTAGTCCTCACGAGATGTTACATGACAATGTATCAATATCATTATGCAAATAACTAAACTACAAGTCATCACATGTACATATACCAAATATGGCATTTATTTACCGGATTATTATAATATATGATTTTTGTTATTTACAAATTCAAGTGCATATGATACTGTATGATCTTCTTGTAAGAACTCAAGAGAAGCAGATTACTTTCTCTTCAGCCTCTGTAAAAACCGGGTACATGTTTGAAAGAAAATAGTGTAACAAAATAATATTGCATTGGATACATTGCGAGGAGCTGATAGAATGACTCATTGATAAGATCTGCAAGATAACCTTGTATAATTGAGTATTCTATCTCATTTTCTTTTCAGGTGTTACGACTGTGATGATGATATTACTATAGATAGCAACAGAAAATTAACAGAATGTGTGGAATTTGTACAGAAGCAGACTGGGGCTGCGGCAAAAACAGACCGACCACCATCGGGTAAAGTGGGAATTGTGCTTTTTTACTCTATCTTCCATTTATTGTAGACTAGATCATTAAAATATTACTTACACATCATTGCACTACTAATAGAAAAAATACAGTATTTCTATTTGATAATTACAGTTGTTGCAAAATAGTGAAATACAGAGTATTAAACACCATAATTTTTCCCGCTCAAATTTGCAACATTTAGCTCATTTTTATGTATTTTTCCATAATTTCTTTGTTAATTTTTGACCAAATGGACGTAATTTCTTATTTGCGGCAGTTTTTGATAAATATTTTTGACTAAAAATATGAAAAAAGTGTTACATGTTTTTTATTTATGAAAGGTCACAAAATTAAATTTTAGTGTTCAAATAATTACTGTGAAGTACTTTATTTTCACTTGGAATTTATTTTCGCCAAGGCGGTAAATCAAAATCATACCTTTTTTTCTATATTTTACATTCAAATCAGTGAAAATAAACTCATTTTAAAACAGCTAAAATGTTCAGTGAAAATTAATTCCAGCTACGGTATTAGAAAATCACTGTCCATATTCCTTTTTTCAGAAAAGTATTTCCATCATTATGTACATAAGCTGAAAAGTTAATTTCTGTTGTCTTGGAAACAAACTTGTCAGCATCTGTAAACATTTACAAGATGCAGAAGCTATTTTTTGCATAAATTAAAAAAATCAGCCAATAACAACACTGGTATAATATATAATTTATCATTTCAGGTAAAAAGAAAGAAAAGGAGGTTGAAATGGCCGAGAAACAGAATATAACGGCGAAACCTAGCAGCACTATGCAGTATAAAGTAAAGGTAAATTAGAGACTCATGACAGAGTACTGAAGACAACATGCAAATTTCATGTAGCCAGACATGGTCGCGTGAGTTGCACCCTCCGTGGTGCTCCAAACCCAACACAAGCTTGACAGATCGATGTAGTTTTTCACTTCCCCTGACAATTTTTTGTTGGTACCCAATCAAATTTCAGGAATGTCATATAATGACAGCCATCAAAGAGTAACCATTCACGGCAGAGTTTATTTGTTTGTTGACATAATGTGTGATAAAGTGTTGGCAAAATTTCCGCCCAATGTTTATCATCTGTGATTTTTGTTGACAATGCAAACACAGCATTGATTGACGATGTTACCCGACCACCAAAATGA